TCTGTATGCTATCCGCGATGTTTGCAGCCGATCCTGATAAAGGAGACACGTGCCCTAGAGATCAAGAGCCTGGTTCTTCAATAATTGTTACATGTTCTTCTGTAACTACTTTTCTATAAAACTTTTTGCCTTTTTTTTTGTTGCAAGACAGTCTTGTCTTTACGCCTACCAAAAAATATACTTCTGATTGACAGTCCTTTCGATGTATCAGTCACAGTTAAAACTCCCATAATATCTTTTAAGACCGCTGATGCTATAATTGCAGCAGAACGATCGGAGACCCCGGTTTTGTCACACGCCGAAGCTAAACTTGGCAAGCAAATCCGCATTTGTGACGTAGATGGTTGGACTGTAACTGTTGACAAAGGGGCAATGAATTCTTCTTCGTGATCATCTGCATCAGAAGAATTTGAGTCAGACAAGTTGCTACTTATGGAACGATTTAAGGAATCAACGGTACATGCTTTAAGAACAATTTTTTCAGTATTATATTTTTGAGAACTTGCCTTTGCCTTCGTGGTTCTTTGTGGCAAATCTTTTCTTTGTATGAATTAGATGCTTGCTGAGTTTTTGTGTATCGCTTCAGCTTTTGATACTCTGTATAAATATTTTTGATCATATCTTGAATGCGCTTATGCGATAATGTTGGAATAGAAGCTTTTATCCATATTTGTTCTACTTTCGTTGTAACGGCATTCGAGGCGTCGGCGATAGATGGATCTTTATTATTATTTGTCAACTTAAGTTTATGACGACTAAAGAGAAAGCACTTTAGAATGTCACACTTAGTGGGTAAAACACGATCATTGAAAACACCAATAATTGTTTCTAGTATTTCACAGTTCAAACTACTTCGCGTTGACATTTCAAAGAATATGTTTATATACGACACGTCTGTGAGATAAGAAACTCAATATTACTGTTATCTGTTGTTGTGTCACTATGCCTGCGTGAATGGTTGGAAGATTGATGTAACCACTGCGTCTGCGTTTTTCCCTTCTCTACCTACTTGATCTACAACTGGCGTTGTTTGGAACACGTACTTCATACCATCAAGCTTCAATGGCATTATGGAACCTGACAGAAGCGTCATTTGAAATTTTGATATGGGGGTGGGGCAAGCATTATATATACCATACATTATATATGCAAACATAATACAAAATTGATCTATTTTTTGTAAATTTCAGTCATTTTCAGGGCCAGGGGGAGGGGGCAAATGCCCCCTTGACCCTATCAAATGACGCCTCTGGAACCTGAAAACATCGTTTAATTTGAAAATAATTTTGCATAAGATGCTTTTCAATCCTAAAGACGACTGTTGATCACAGCCAAATCGATTTTTTCAACAAAAATATTTTTTTTGTTTTTTTCATTTTTCAAATCCAATTTGGAACCTCAAGATTTGTTTTTATTTCAAAATGCTTTCGCACCGTTTGTTTTCATTACCTGACACAACTTTTAAACGATAGCCACAATCATTTTTCTTTTATTTTTTTGGCCTTTTTCGTTCCACCCTACTGTACAGTAAGGTGGCGGCTCGATAATGGGGTGGGGTGGGATTAATTTAGAGGTCCGTACGTAGTTAGTTAGAACAGATCACGGGCGGCTTACATCACTCAGATACATTGCAGACATTTTAGAAGAACATGTCTTGCGATTTGCACAATTTATTACTGATAATTTCATGCTTATGCAAGATAATACCTGACCACACATTGCAAGAATTGTGTGGCAATATCTTTAGGAGGTTGGGATTCCAGCCATGGTTTGGCCTGTGAGAAGTCCCGACCTCATCCCATGTTTGATAGAAGAAGAGCAGAAAATAGAAAATCTTACCTCACATAAGTAATCTAACGAGAATTCAACTCTCTATTGAAATTGAAACGTCAATAAACGTATTTTAACTTTTAATTGTGGCTTATTCCCATTTAAATAGTAATTACTTTAAAATGCCACAAGACAATAGCTTCAGAACAATACTATTCAACTCTCTGTTTAATTTGTGTAAATTATTTATTTAGTATTTCTACAATCAATGTCTCCCTCCCTCAAGGGAGCCACCAAAAAAAAGTCCAAAAAGAACAAAAAGAAAACACAAAAAAGGGGGATAAAAGAACAAATAATGGCCAAAAAGAAAGTTAAAAGAGACCAAATAAAGTTAAATACTAAGCCCAAAAAGAGATCTAAAAAATATCCAAAAAGGAATTAATAAATAGAGCCAAACAAGAGAGCCAAAAATATGGCTAAAAAGGGGACCAAAAAAGTCAAAAGAGAGCCAAAGAAGACAGCCGAACAAGATTTAACGAAAGAACTTACAAAAGAAAGCATAAAAAGGATAATCGAGAGATTACCTTTGTGATCGAAAGAGCTAAGTGAGAGAGCTAAGACAGAGCCAAGCGAGACAGTCAAGCGAGGGAGCTAAAAAAAAGATATCCGGAAAAGAATGGAAAAGAGCCAAAATATTAAGCTAAAAATTGAGTCAAAAAGTGCCAAAAAGAACCAAAAAGGTAACCAAAAATGTAGTCAAAAGAAAGTCAAATACCCAGCCAAGAAGAAGAGTCAAAACAGAGTCAAAAGAGATTTATAAAGAAAACTTTAAAAGAGTCAAAAAGAGAGTAAAAAGCCAAAAAGAGAGAAAAAAACTAAAAAAGAGAGTCAAAAGTAAGACAATAACGAAAATAAAAAAGGGAAAGCCAAAAAACAAGAACCAAATAAGGAACTGAAACAAGAGAGCAAAGTTGAAGCTTAAACAAAAGCGAGAGATTTTAGTCCTCTGTTCAGCAATATAAAGTTTTTTTAATTTGGTGTAATCATAACTGAGAAAAGTGATTTTTAAGATGTAAAATTTTGATAATATCTCTATCACAAAACTTTAGGTATAATGACGATAATAATGTCACATAATAATAATAGCGCTTATAATGATGTGCTACACTTAGCCAAGACGAAAAGATCGCCAAGATAGAGATCTGGAAATACAAATCAAGAGACAATGGAGAATGGAAAGTACCCAGACAGTACCTATTGTTCTATCTACTACTGGTGTTATTCCCAATAACCTCTTAGCAAACATAAAACAGCTGGATCTAAATGAACATCTTTATAAGGCCATGCAGAAAGCTGTACTCCACGCGACGTCCAGATGTGTACGAAAATTTCTGGGAGATACTCCAACATACCAAGTCACCTAGGGCTCGATAACACGGAAAGAGTCCCACCAGAGCTCAATCCTTTTGATACCGTAGGTATCTGGGATGAGTGAATTTTCCCCTTAGAGGGAGTGTGAGCCGTATGGCTAAATCTGGATATAAACTATAATGTTCAAAATAACCACCATTCACTTCTGGACAAAACCGAGGTGATTTTGCAATTCTCGTATAACATTTTGTACGACCTCGGGGGTTATTTTGTTAATTTCTTCCGTTAACCTAACTTTTAAATCAGCAATACTGTTTAGTCTATTAAAATATACTTTAGGTTTTAAATAATTCCATAAGAAGTAATCTAGAGGAGTCAAATCGGGGATCTAGCCGGCCATTCGATCGTTCTACCACCTTTCGGTCTTCCAATCCACCTATTGGAAAATATCTCGTTTAAATAATTTCTAACTAAAACTGCAAAATGCGGTGGAGCTCTGTCTTGTTGGTAGTAAATAGATCGATTTATCTCATTTCGATGATTAACAACACAAAAAACTCTTCGTAATGTATGCACTAAAAAGTTGATCAAAAATCTAGATAAACCTCACCATCAACTGTGCCCTCAAAAAAAGGACCAATAATTTTATTTAATTGATATGAGGTAAATGCTCGAATAAATGAACTTTGAAAATTAAGGCAAATATCGAGCACAAGTTTAATCAAATCTTGCCCAAGTACTTTCGCTTAATATAGCATCTTCAGGGGCATCTGAAATAAACCAAATAAGCTTTGACTTTTACAAAAAAACCTGATTATTTCTAAAGTATATTTTAATAGACCAGGCAATATTGCTGATTTAAAAGTTAAGATAACTGAAGAAATTAACAAAATAACCCCCGAGGTCATAAAAATGTTTTACGAGAATTCCAAAATCGCCTCGGTTATTTTCAAGAAGTGAATGGTGGTCATTTTAAACATTTAATTTAATTGTAAAGTACATTGAAAAATATATTCTAAATATTATGTGATATTATTATCGTCATTCAACCTAAAGTCTTGTGATAAAGACATTATCAAAATGTTCATCTTAAAAATCACTTTTCTCAGTTATAATTGCATAAACTTAAAAAACTTGATATTGCTGAAGAGAGGACTAAAATCCCTTTCGAACAAGGTGTCAGACGACCCGAATATAGGCACCCTCTCGAAAATTTTAAATAACAAAGGGGGTGCTGAAGGGGAATAATATTTTTATACTGTAAATTGTCAATTTAAGAATAAAAATTGATCGGTTTCAGGTTTTTTTCACATAGTACATAATAACGTTAAAAATGAATTTATTCCATACATATGAACCGCATGGTACTATAATATCTGAAGCTTCAATTCGTAAATTTAAAATTTCAAAATACGAGAGTTAACTTGAATACCCCTTGGTACAGCAATACCACAAGCCTTGATAATCTTATGCTGTCTTAACTTTTTTTTTCTCAACTCAACTCTCAACTCAAGCTTTTTTACTTGAAAATTTCCAATGTGTAATTTTAATAATTATTAATGATAAAATTAGGTGGTTATTATTGATACCTATCGTAAATAAGTATGATCTTTTTAAACTTATAATTAGTTCGTATAAAGATGATAAAGGTAAATAATTAAGATCAGATCACTGTCGTCGGAAATCAAGCAGAATTGACACCAACAACAGGTGGGGACAACTACCTATCATTAGTGCAACTCGATGGTTCTGTGGTTCTACTTTGATGCAAACAAGAACGATCGGCATTTAATTCTTAATCGTCGACAAGCGTGTATGTTTCGTACCGAATAAAGCGACTACGGTGTGTTTGTTATTGGGTCTTTGTTAGTTGCAATTAGATATTTTGTGACAGTGTAAGAGACAAGTAAGTAAAATTATATTATTAATATAGAACTGCTTCTTAATATTTGCGATATTTATTGCAATATGTTCGGTCTTTTTTTAATTTAAATTTATGAGGTGGGTGCTAAGGAGCTATACAAGTTAAATTAAATATCAATTTTATTTGTTATTTATTTAGGTTAGGTACTACCAGTTTTATCAAATATTAGCAACAACTTTTAAAGTCATTACTATCCCCTTTGTATTACTTTCCGCTCATACTAAATACAATATTTGTATGTAAAAAAATCATAATAACAATTGTGTATAAAACATTTTTCGTCTCCAGATCTAAATATCCCCCTTTGAATGCTTTTTCAATTATTATACTTTGGGGAATTAACTTCATGTATAATTGTTAGTTTATTTTACGTTTAGCTTCGAAAATTAAACGAATAAATTTGTTTTTTGTTACTTTATTCTCATAATTTAATTTGATTTGTCAACACACACGAACATTTCTATACACTCAAAATTCATCATCATTGGTGGTACAGCCTCGACCTTCCCAAGTCTACTTAGCCAGTCAGCCCTATCCATTACATTACCAACCGTTGCCAGTTTACTGCACCTACTTTTCTACCATCTAAAATATGATTCTATATAAGTTTTGGCCTACCTCTTCGTGTACTTTCCACTGGCTGTGAGACAAGGATTCGTCAAGAAGGGTTGTTCTGCTTTGATCTTGCTAGATGTCTTTTCCATCTTAGATATCTGTTTGTACTTGATACACCTATCTCATAGTTATTGTTCTTCCTCTTCCAAATACCGTTTTCACAGCTGCCAACGAATATTCATCTGAGGTTTCTTCGTTCAATATGACCAAGAGGTTTTCATCTGCCTTGGAGTGTTTTCTATTCATATGTCAGCACTGGCAGTATAAGGGTTTTGTATATTGTATTTTTTTTTGTTTTAAGTTTCTACATTTCATATCACGCAGTGACCTATCATTTCTTTTTCACGCAGCTTCAAACAGCACTTGCTCGTCAAAATTATTCTCCGTTTGATGTCTTTCGTTATGGAGTTGTCATTGGTCATCATGGAGCCTATGTGAGTTGGTCCACCACTTCAAAGTTAGAGTTACTAAGCATTTAAGAAAATTGTGTACATTTTTTCTAGCTTGACGGTTGTACAGGTCTAGATCATCTGCATAGGATATAATTTGTGAGGATTTATTTAAAAAAGATTTCCTCTGCTGTCTATTTTGGTGTCTATAACCGCTTTTTACAAGACTATATTAAAAAGGGGACAAGGGAGCGTAACTCCCTACCGCAGTCCGAAAATCATTTTAAACGCTTGTGAGTATTCACCATATTCCTACTTTGGAAAAAACTTGACGCACTCTAGCCTTTACCAGCCGTATTGGGTTATCGGTAATATAGAATTCATTCATGGTTTCATACATTTTACTTCTTAGCAGCCAATCATAGGTGATTTAAAATTTATGAAGGGGTAGAAGATATGAATATTGAATTCGTTGGTTTTTTACAGTATTTGTCTCAGCACAAGAATCTAATCTGTTGTTAATCAATTCGACTTCTTAAACCACTTTGATATTCGCTAAGAAGCGCCTCTGAATATACATTTAAAATTAGAAGACTTTCAATATTATTGTCAGTATTTTTATAGTGCGTTTCTGAGACGACTTTATTGAAGAGTATTTTAACTTTAAATTAAGAACTCCTTTCAGAAAAATAATAATATCATTTGATTGGTGTTTAATACATAAATTACGATTAATAAAATTCAAACGTGAGAGTCACGTTTTCTTATTAGTAAATTACGTAAAATCGTAATTCCGGCACGTATCCGATACTAACAGTAATTTACTGTCAACATAGACACCGACATCTAATTTTTATATTGCTAAATTATATTCTTTAAACTTCTAAATAATGCCACCTCTCTATGTTTTTATTTTTTCTTTTTGGAACTTACCAATGCTCGTCTTAGGTTTTCATATACATTAACTGTTTACAACTGCACTAACGCGTATTACCTTGTTTACTGCTGATCTAAACAACCCTATCAATGTTTTGTTGGTTATTTGTCGTTTATTCTAAAGCCAGTAATGTCGACGTCTTCCAGCTCTTATATCCTCGATCTTTTCTTTAGTGATGAGTTGTGAAAAGTTAAATTCTTGATTTCTCATCATTTGAATAAAATTTCTTTTTCTGTAAATAGTTTGTTTAATTCCTCCATATTTTTATTATTTGCAAAATTTTCATGTTCGTTATTTAACTAACCCATGATATTCTGAGTATTCTTCAATATATGAATATTCTTTTCTAACGTTTCCGTCATTGTCCACACCTGAACAACTTACAACGCTTCCATTGAGTGGGCCCAAGTTTGATTTAGATTTCATCCTATATAGTCAACTCATTTTGTCAGCAATCAAATCCAAATATCTGAATATCTTTTTAAAGTATCACCTACGTGTATCTACACTTGGATTTCTAATGTTAACAGGAATATAAGGAATTAGATTGGTTATTTTGTGATCAGTAGGCGTCTTTATGCTTGTATTAAAAGCGTAAAAAACATCCAGGAGCTGATTTTTACAGTGATTACAATATTTTATCTGCTCTAGTCGCACTTCTTCTTCTTTAAGTTCCATCTTCTATCGAAGGTTGGAAATCATCATGGTTATGCGGACTTTGTTGATTGTCGCTCTAAAAAGTTCTGCACTACTGCATTCAAACCATTCCCTTAAGTTCTTAAGCCAGGATATTCTTCGTCTTTCCACACTTCGCTTACCTCGGATTTTGCCCTGCATAATAAGTTGTAATAATGCGTATTTTTGCCCTCTCATCACATGTCCCAAGTACTCAAGTTTTCATCTTTTAATAGTTAATATTATTTCCGCCTCATTGCCTATCCTTCTAGTTATTTCCATGTTTGACATTCTTTGAATCCATGATATTCGTAGGATTCTTCTGTAACACCAAAATTCAAAGGCGGCCAACTTATTCAGATGAACTTGTTTTAGTGTCCAAGCTTCCAGACCATAAAGAAGAGTAGAGAACACGTAACATCGAAGCATTCTCAGGCGTAGTTCTAACCTTATATCCCGAAAACAAAGAAACTTTTTAAGTTTAATAAGTGATGTACGTGCTATTTCAATACGTGTCTTAATTTCTTTAGTTTGGTCTAAATCTGATGTTATCCATGTTCCTAAGTATTTATAGTTATTAACACTCTCAATTGCAGTATCTTCAATAGTCAATTGGATATTTGCATGTGCAGATTTAGTCATGATCATGCATTTAGTTTTCTTTAAATTTATCTTCAGTCCGTACTCATGACAGCGTTCATTAAGGCGTTGCATTACGTTCTGTAAATCATTATTGATATCCGTAATTATTACTGTATCGTCTGCAAAACGTAAGTTATTCAAAACTTCTCCATTGATAGATATACCTTCTATTGAGTCTGAGAGCGCTTCTTGAAATACCGCTTCACTGTAGACATTGAAAAGTACTGGGGACAGCACGCAACCCTGGCGGACTCCTCTCTGTATTTTGATATTTTCGGTGTACTGGCTGTCAACCCTTACCTTGGCAGTTTGATTCCAATATAAATTAGATATAATTTTCAGATCACGACTGTCAATATTTTTGCTTTTTAATATATTTACAAGCTTTTTATGTTGAACTTTATCAAATGCCTAAGTCGCACTAAGATTGAAAAAATATTCAAGAACGAAGAATTAACCATGAATCGACACGAGGAAACTGTATATGGCAATTAATCAAAGCAAGATCCATTCGGAGCTAACCATAAAATTAGGGAAATTCTACAATGTAGCCTATGGTGTAGCCTTAAGTGAAGAAGACAACTAAAACACCATCAAAACAGACATTACCAACACTGCAAATGGAAAATTTGCCAAACAAATTAAATAAAAATCAATATACTGATTTGGATAATATAAGTAAAAATTGGATTGAGTATTGAAGCTGTCTTTAAACATTATTAATATATCACAGGTGAGGAAAAAATAGGAGCTACATATTTCGGTTCCACCAATGGTTTTGGAATAATAAAAGCATTATTCGATATGCAAGTTTTAGTTGCGGTGTGGTATTGTTTTCGTAAAGATCTTTTAATAGATACAAGAACAGAGCCATCACAAACTGATAACGAGGAAGCTGCAATAATATTAAAATTTGAAGTCCAACATGCTATAAACAACTCAAAATCTGTCAGAGCCCCTTGGCTAGATAAAATTCGACATATTCTGTACATAGATAAAGAAAGTTTAAGCGCATTAACTATTCTCTTTAACAACATACAAATCTAGTCACATACCTACAGAATGGCTACCAAGACTCTTAAACACTTTAATGACTATAGATTAATTAGCTTAATGTCACAAATATTGGACACATTTTTAAAGGTTATACATGCAAGAATATTCAAAAAGCGTGAAGCGGATTTGAGTAATAGACAGTTTAATTTTCGTAATCTCTTCCGAACAGTAGAAGCTCGATATAATTTCACAACTCTTGCTCAAAAATGTCAAGACCAACAAAAAGATCTTTTCGTCGCATTTATAGACTATAAGAAAGCTTTCGACACAGTTAAACATAAAATTCTCATGGAATGTCTAAAGCGCAAAAACCTCGAGACAAACAGTTTACTTTAACAATAATCATAAAAAAAACAAAAACCATAATTATTCAGTAAGAGGGGTAAAGTTATAATAAGGATCTAGATAAAAAATTAAGATATTGATGAAGTGGACAAAATGAAGTATGTAGGAGTCTGGATTACTGAAGATTTAAATCCGAAATCAAAAATTCAATCAAGAATAGTGCAATCGAGGGCAGCCTTTTTGGAGATGAGGAAATTTCTAAGTAACCAAAGTCTCAATCTGCAAATGCGATATCGTATGATAAAATGTTATATCCACTCTATTCTTATTTATAGTATCAAAGCTTGTACTATTAATGTTGATTTGATGAAAAAGCTGGAAGA